ACACATTTATTTTAGCTCAGTTTAATTTACTAAAGAGAAGTAATCCTAAAAGGGAGAAGAAACAGCATTAAATGTATCCCAAGGTGCTTGTTATCTTTTTATAGTCAAGTCAAGTGACCAATATTTATAGTGCACATCTAGAGCAAAAGCTGCCGAGCCAAAGTGTTTTCCACTAGAAAATTAAAATTGGCTTTACGCAGTAGTTTAGATATTAAGGCTACGGCCATACAGTGTTCATATATAAAGGATACAACCCTGCAAAACATTATATAACATGCAACTTTACCTGACTGCAATAAATATTAATGCTTAGACCCTACAGCGTTATTAATTATGGACATTAAGCCAGCTATTTTAAATATAAAGGATAGGACCTTTCAGCATTATTCATTATGAAGATTAATCTGACTACTACAGAACTAAACCATCTAAGAATATACACAAAACCCCTCCAAAATATAACAAATGCAATGTTTCCCTGGACTCCCCATCAGCAAGTGAATCTTAGGTAATTGTGATTTATTCTATTTTTTAAAAAAAAAACATGGATCTATTATTATAGTAGATTTTGCATATAACTGCAATGGTAGATGCATCATGTCGTTCATGTTATTAATTCATTTGTTTCATTGTTCCAGAAAATGCCCATCCATCCTCAGAGTTCAGCCTCATGTCCTCTCCCGGCTGCCGTAGACATTCCTTCACTGTCAGCTAGTGTGCGGTGACAGACAAGCATCGGTGACCCTCAATCCAGCTCCAAGTGTGAACTATGGAAGAGATTAATAATATTGAAGTTGTTCCGTGCACAGAGTCCGACTACCTGAAGCCGTTCAGGGTTCATTATAATCAGGTGAGTGATTTCTGTGTGATATCGGCTGGTGGAGGCTGCTGGATGCTGTAGGCTAGCCCAACCCCCCCCCCCATTCATTTTGCAGCTAGCATGCTAGCATAACATGAAGCTGACCTTAAACACAGACACTGCCTGCAACAAATGGCATTAATTTAACAACAGAGGTAACGATATATTGTGTTTGGATAATTTTCACACACGTCGGGTGAAAAGTTGCCGTTGTGTTTGACGTGAACCCGAGACAGCAAAGCGAACAGGCAGCTGGAAGCTAACATGCTAACGGTAGCTCGCTGCAGAGGTTTTTGTGGTTGAAGCATCACGTTAACGGCAGCACATGCTTTACATTAGTGTCAGGAGGTGTGGAGGACAGGGTTTAGCAGTGGCAGGGGAGGGGATGTTTTCTGTGGGAATGAAAGAAAGGCAGGTGAGACTTGTTGCTTTCCTCAGTTCAGACTGGTGTGCTGAGGTCGGAGGTCCTGACAGTTCAGGATTACACTGAACTAAATGGCTCATTTGTGTGAGGAACCCTGTGGAGCTGAGCCTGTTACACTCATGTATGTTTTTTATCATGTTATAATGAAAGTACAGGTCTTGGACAAAGCATAAAGACTGCAGGGAAATGTACACACACCTCAGAACAGTTTCAGTCCTTCACATCACTGTTAGATTATTTACACATGTAGATTTATAAAGTCTTTTTGTTCTTTGCTTATCCTGTAACCTGCTTTTGTTTACAGGGTTTTTTTGTTTTGTTCTGTCTTTCTTCAACATTACACTGCCAATACTGTGAGAGAGCGGTTTGCATGCTGTTACAAAATATGCAAAACATATGTAAAACTTTGTCAGGGTCATGTTTTGGACTTTTCACATCCAATACAATCATAAATGTCCATAAAAATACAACTGTGCTGCGATAAAGACAGGACTGCTCAGATTGTGAAACTCACCACTAATGACACTAGTCCAGGTCAAAACATCAACAGGAGCTGAAGCTTAGTTTGTTGGTTCCAGCTGAGTCTGTCCTCTGACCTGTAGAACAACAGCAGTAACTTCTTTTATTATCGATCACTTCAAGTTATCCTGAAATGAAGACAGGATCGATTAGGATCTAACAGCAAGGCTTGCTATTACAATATATTCAGACCTTTGTTTACTAGTGCATTACAACATATTCCGTCACTTGATGTACTGATCAGTCTCATGTGAATGACGAGGATGGTGTGCATACCGTGGCTCTCTCTATCACTGTGGTGGGTTTGTCTGAATGAAGCCACGAGGAGCATTAATGTGAAAATGACCTTTGTCTGAATGACAGATTGCCGTCACTTTAATAGCCTGATAAGGCAAAAACGTCACATATTCCATGTTTGAAAAGGGCTTCAGGGATTATTTAGAGATGATGGCTGGTGCTGATACTAACCATATTATGAAGCTTTGGTATTGGCTATGATGCTAGAGGTCCCACTTCAATGTGGGTTCTTTGTTAGTGTCATAAAATTCAATATTTCTGCTGTCAGTGACACTCATTTAGTGTTGCAATCTGACATTTTCTTACTTAAATATGCCACAAATGTGTTCACACATTGAGGTAAAAAGATTAAAATCTCAGAAAAAGTGTGTGCTCATATCAGAATACCAAAAAAAAATGGGATTGACACGTGTCTGTTGATGTGTTGTAGCTGCTCTAGACACCTACAGCTTGGATCTATGTAGGTTTATGTACATATTGGGAGGATCAACATTGCATATATAGACAAATTAGTAAATTTTGCATAATATGGGCTCCATAACATGTATACCCAAGACTGACTTTCTTAAATCAAGCATCTCCTTGCATTTACTTTTGCCGCACTTCTTATACAGCATCAGTTCTCCTGTAAGTACTGCTTTGGCATTATATTTAGCTTTCCCAGGATATAGGTGTTTTGTAGAGAGCTTGTGGGTGCAGGTTTAGGCACTATCCATCCAACCACTTATTCATCTATCCATTTTTAGCTTCTTGTCCAGGTCATTGTGGCAAACATGGCAGGCAGAGTTGATCTTCTGCGACTGAGATTTCATCATCGAAGTTCAGAGGATGGCCGTATCACATTAGTTGCCTCACTGTTTTGCAGTAAATACACAACGTTGGAATTGGAAAGGTAGCGAAGTTTTGACCCTAAAGCATCGCCTCAGACTGGCTTCGTTTGATTTGTTTGTTTTATTTTTTACAAATGTGTCATTAAAAACATAGTATCATAATAGTCCACCCACTAAAAGAAAGCAAAGTGTGATGACAGTGTATCCTGACAGTCTCCAGCAAAGTGAGAAATGCTTCCTTACCCAAACATAGGCTGCATTCCAGGATGGATTTATTTTTAGGTTTCAAAATATTTGTGCAGTTTCTCTGTTCCTAGGCTATAGAGTCAGCTTCTGTTGTGTAAAATCTGGATAGTGACTGTGGTGCAGATGAAATACTATGATCAAACTTACTATTAAGACTCAGAATCGACTGTATTACTTACACGGCAGATGATAAGAAGATGTTATTTAACTTAGTCTTACTGACGATGTCTGATGTCATTAGTACATGCAAGAAGGACTGTTTTGTCCATTTTGTTTTTAAGTCGCCTTGCTGTGGAAAAGCTTGAAAAAAGTAGAACTGACTTACATTTATGACTCGAAGGTGTTTTTTTTGTCGTGTAGCTTTCAATGTAATCAGAAAACTCAAGTACCGTGGTGCTCATGTTGAGGGGAGCTCAGTTAATAGTTTGTCCCATTCGGGGTTCACACCTGTGACAGCAGAGGGGGGAGGTTAAGCTTGTCAAGAGAATGGCGGAACGGCTAAAGACAGCAGATGGACAACAAAAGAGATGATGGTGGACTCTCTCTCTCTCTCTCTGTCCTGTCCTCCCTTTCATCCTTGTCATCTCTCCTTTGCAGCTCAGGAGGGGCTGTTCAGGGACTCCCCACAAAGGCTTTTCAATCACGCTGAGGGAGCATCTCTTCCACAATCCTTTTATGTTCATCTGTACATCTGCAGCTTAGCCACTGGTCACTAACCAAAATCTACTTACACTCACAGAAACACACCCTAAAAGTAGATAATGTCATGCGCAAGAGGCTCTCTGCATCATTAGTGTTTATTGGTGTTTTGTCTCGACTCTCTCTACAAAGCAGGTGATTGTCCCTCGTTGACTCTGGGAAACCCCTCTTATCTCTGTCGCTTTGCACTGACACAGAATCACGAGTTGCTGCTTAGGGCAGGATAATTAGCTTCCATTTATTAATTATATTGATTTGAATTATTCATCTGGAATTATTTACCTTGTATATTGTTCAGCTAGTGCCCCCCTTACGCCTTCAATTAATATTGTGATCTTGAAACACACATTTTCTCACATGAATGATTATTTATCGGCTTGCGCTTGAATCATGGCTGTTAAATGAGTGCCATGATTTGTATGAACAAATGTATGTTCTGGAAGAGGAAGAGAGGACTGCATGCTTGTGATTCAGGGCAGAGTGGGGATTCATTTTGATCATTTATTAAATTTAGGTGGGAAACGCATCTTGTTACGCAAAAAACAGGTTTAATTTAAATGATTCAAAGGAAATTGTTATTAAAAAATGAACAAAATGGGCAGTTGAATTTCTTTATTTGAGCAGTCTGAAGTAACGAATGATGGAATACAGTACATCGCATTATGTTTGTTGATTTGAAATTGAGCCCGACTGATCCTCGATTTCTGGGGCAGGTACATTTTTTAGGGAGTAAAAAAATTCTAAAATTATACATACATACATACATACATACATACATACATACATACAATGTAATTATTTAACTTTCAAGAAATGTATTTTACAAACTTATTAGCTATTCACAGTAAAGAAACCTCTTGATTTAGCACTACCGTCTGTTTAGCTGTGACATGTGCTCTGCTGCATGTGCTGCAGACACTGCTGAGATTGTTGTAAACAATAAAGTTGGTGCATGCTCTGCTGGACAATCGATCTGATGACATCATTTTAGCCAAAACATCATTTCTGCATTTTAATTTGTAAAAAAAACAAACAAACAAAAAACTAATGCAAGTAAATCAGAACGCCATTTATTCTTATGTAAACTGTAATCTGTTTACGAAACTGCTCCATCTGTTCATCAGTTAGGAACTTTTGCAGAGAATTTTTAAGAGACTGCGATGTCTGCAAAGAAACTGTAAAATCAAATTAGCTAACAGGCTAACAGGCGATTCAACTGCTCGACTGTGTTGACAGTCAAATTGTGTACATGTCTAATTAATGAGAAATGAGTTTATCTCGTTTAACAAATGCTAGCTTGATATTTCTCTGAACAAAATATTTCAGCTGACACGTCTGTGTAGATTGTCAGTCATCCAAGTCATAGTAATTCTCAGAGATTTGGTAGAAGACAGTTGGACTTCTCTTTTTGGCAGCAAGACGCTAAAGCGAACCGAAGAGGCCTCTTGTACGAAACATGAACTGTCTTCAAGAACCAGACTCAGAAGTCCTGTTGCCCTCTACTGGAGCTCCGAGTGTTCACACACGTGGCAGGCCAACCTCCACACTTACTTCTCACTATGCTGTTCCTTGCATGGAACACTGGGGGGAGTTTTTTGTGTATTTTACGGAATTACAGACACCAAATAAAGCTGTGAGGAAATAAGGAACAAGGCATTATCCGTTGTTGTTTTCTTAACTATTTAGTTAGCTAATTCGCTAGGTTGTCAGTTAGCTACTTTGGCCGGGTGTAGGTCGCATGTATAAGCCTGCCATTACCTGATCATCTCAATTAGCATTCTCCATCCTTCCACTATCTGCGTGTTACAGTTTTCATCGCCACGGGAAACAACAACAAGAAGCTCTGAGCTGCAACCCATTACACTGAAAATGAAACTGAGAGTGCGTCAAGGATTTGAGTCTTGCGGCCAGGCAGCTGCTTGTTTTTTCGGCAGATTATCTATTTTGATTGCACTTCTCGTCTGCTTGCGTGCAAA